CATACAAAAATTGACAAAATTTTCATACAAAAGGTGTATGGTATTGTAATGCATATGATTTTATTGACCCAGCCCTGCTATCTTTGTTTAGTATACATTCAATCATGGAATATTACAAATTCATAATTTTGATTGGTTCCTCAACCATTGATATAATCCATGGTAAAGAAAAATACAAAACAAAATTACAAATCACGCACTATTTGTGGATATTTTTGTCTAAATTGATACAAAAATATAAAATTAACCTCAGCATATAGTAAGAAATTAGGCTATGCCTTTGTTGTCTTTGTTGGCTTGGATATGACAGCCGCGTTGTCTATTTTTTTAAATGGCAAAAAATGTGGAATAAGGGGGGGGGGCATAATTTCAATTTATTTCCGAGTGGGGGCACTGTCCCCCCAGACCCCCTCTCAGCTACGGGCCTGCTCCAGACCCCTTAGGCTTAGAACTTTGTGTAGTTAAAAACAGTCAAGTATATAGTTGACAGATAGTCTGGCAGTTTTTATTGTGAGTTAAGTGGAGACGTTTGTATAATCCGCGCATACGCAATGTTAACCAAAGTTTAGTAAATGTGCGCGTATACATAGGCTAATACAAGCCAAGCTAAAGACTCCGAACTATACCTCAGCCCCCCGGTCCTCCGATTGAAGAATGAAGCAGGCCTAGCGCCGCCCCTGAATGCCGGTGGCTTTATTGTTCGATAACCTACACAATATATGCATGTACAAGTTGCAGAGCTTACACCCACATTAATACTTATTGTGATTAGCAATGTCTATAAGCATGAAAGGGCGTTCTTTATAAACCAAGGTGAGAATTTTATACTTATATTTTACTTCGTCAATTATAAGCTTAATTTGTATTACTAATTTTTCTCGAATTTATAAATTATTTCGAAGATTCTATTCTCTACAAGCAAATTCTATTCTCTACACCAAATACGATTATTTAAAAGCAAGGCATTAATGAAAATTTTTATTGTCTTATTTAAAAGAACTATAAAAACTATAGCGAAACTTCTTTTGCAGTTTTTTGTTCCGTTGCTTCGTTTTCGAGATATTTCAGTTAGTTTGAAATACGTGTCATGGTTTTACTTCACATATACATGCATAATGAGTTATCAGATTAAGTTGTATATCCTTGCTATTATCAAACAAAATCGCTTTATGGAAGTATAGTGTGCATTTGTGTTGTTCTACAACATCAAATATCTGGATTCTCTAGTAATTTCATTTCATCCATAATAACAATACAACATTTTCAGCAAACTCATTATGCATTTTGTGACGTAGAAACCTTGACACGTATGACGTATATCAAACCAGCTCAGGAACTAGATGTCTCGAAAACTGCGGAACGAAAAACTGCAAAAGAAGTTACTCTATAGTTTTTGTGTACTATTTAAAACATGAGCGGCCGTGTTTTATCAGATATAAAGATACGAGGCGAAACCGAGTATCTTTAAGTCTGATAAGTCCGACTTCCAGATATAATTTAACGCATTATGTCAAATTAAATTATTTATGATAAAACCATGCGTTTTGTATATGCACGTAATACGCCGCACACTTGCGCGTTTTCCTTCCTAATATGTAGAAATATTATGTTTTTGATGTTACTCTGAGTGTATATCCACACCAGGCAGGCTGAAAAGTTAGTCTGACCACTGTGGGAATCGAACCCTCGACCTTTTTGGGATATATACTAGTTCAAATCAAATGTTACACCTGAGAGTAACATCAAAAACATTATATTCACCTGAGTACATAACATCAAACACACACAAAAAATATCATGTAGAAATATTGTTGTGCCGTATTCATGTGCTTGGTCCATAACTGCCATTTCAAAGGATTTAAACTTTTCCGTGTTTCATTCGCGTAATGAAAACGCACGATTGAAAACAGCTTTTTCTATATCATATAGCTAGTAACTTGATATTTGCATGTGTACAGGTGGCAATCGCGAAAACACTGTATCTTTTAGAATTACAAATTGTTTTTAGATGATTTAATTTCATAACAAGATGTGTCCCCCGCCATAGAATGTTTTAATTGTTCACAATGATAGCATGCGAATTTAAGCCCTGGAATGGTCAAACGAGTGATGAAAGTAGACGGGAGTTGAGAAGCGAGGCCCAGTTTTCTCAATTCTCTTAGCCCGGTCAAACGAGAACAAGAGTCGCGTGAGAGTTGACTGGATATACCTGTCAAATGAACAAAACCAACTCTCATCAATTTAAAAACACGAGCGAGAATCGACCGAAATCATCGGTGGGGGCTTAAGTATTTCAGGCACGCTTTGGGGATGGAGATGTTATAGCATTTACAATGGGGGGTCTCTTCAGAAAGGTCGTTCATGTGAAGCAGTCGAATTATTGCTCTATCATAAATTTTTACGATGCCGTTCAAGATGAACAGAAAAACATGAATCTATATATAAGCAATTATATCATGATTGTTGTTGCGAAAACGTGACCTTTTGTCTACTGTTATTTTTTTATAACGTTTCATGCATATTTTATAGGCAGGCAGGGCAGGTAGTGTCGAGTCCGTGCCAGCTGTTTACGTTGAAGCTTCCAATGAATTTGCATTTCGCAAATAAGGTGCGTATTTTTACTTATTTTACTTATAAATTACATCAGTGGGCAGTTTTCTATAGGGATGTACCGGAAAGAGCTTTTTACTATTTGTCCGGACCCCGAATACCGGATATGGATCACTAAAGGATGATCCTTACTGGACCTCTAGGGAAAACAGTGTAGAACTCACAGAGCTATCTATTACAATATAACCAAAGTCAGTACCAATGAGAGAGATCAATAAAAAGCCAAAAGATCGATAGACAAATGTATTAATTTTGTTCTTTGATAGAAAAGGGGGTTTCCGTGGCGCTACATACATTCTGTGTTAATAACTGAAGATGCAGAACGGTAAAATGTACCTTGAATGCAAATTCATGTCTATGTTGCTGTTGATGTTACTGGGGATACTAAAAGAAATTGAATGCCTGAATTTTTGTTTCAATGCGAGCTTTGAAGGTAAGCCATGTGTCATTGTAATGAAATATTGAAACCAAATCACCATTGATGGTATAGCACAGTGGTTATAAGTTATGTCTTTCTCTTCTGTGTCCGGAGTTCAATTACTGCAATATATGGTCAGTGTCTGATTCTCATTTCGCCCGGTTTAGTTTGACTGCACTAAACACCGCGTAGTCTTTTTTTGGCGTTCCGTTTCCCCCTTGTATAGTTAGACTGGACAAGCAAAAGGTGAATTAAACTGGGCCAATATAGCGAGACCAGGTTACAATCTGATACAAAAAGCTATACAGTATAAGTAAAGTTAGTTTTTTGTAGGTTTCCCGTCCTGTAGTAACAATGGACCAATATTCAATAAGGCCAATAGGAATTGCCCTAACTTAATTAGAGAACAGTTTAGAGGAAACTGGTAGGACTAAAATATTTTAAATAAAGAATATTAATAAATTTTAGCCAGTTAGTCTTCTTTATTTGTTCTCCAATTTACAGGGTCTCGTCTCAATGACACAGTCCTACAAACAAAAAATGTTTCCTCAAAGATTCAGTGCATATTGGCCTGTGTGCAAAATCCATGCTGCAGATCTTTAAACTACAGAGACAGATCTCACTTCAAAGAACAAAGTAAATGTGAACTACTACACAACACTATATACAATACATCGAAAGAGTTGGAGCAAGACAGTTCATATGACCATGTTTTCCTTAATGGACCGATGAAGGTATGTATAAGGTGTTAGTGACACACTAGTTTGTACATTTTTCTTTTACAGTTTCATCTTTGTGAGTAGGTTTGATTTCTGCAAAATACAGTTGCTTGATTATAATTTAGGCTCAGTCACGTTACTCATGCACGTATGTGAGAAGAGTGCGTCTAGTTTGACCAAACTAAACATCACAGGGGTTTTTTCAGTAACACAGGAATTATGGAATGGCCTTACTGCGTGTAGGTCTAGGTATAGAACAGTAAAGAACTCGAACTTTCCTGATTCTGTTCTACTGCGGCGAATGCGCTCCAATGTAAGTGCATGAAAATTTTTGTGATGACTAAAGACTAAATGCTTGTCTTCTTTTCTTTGGCAGGAATACAATGCCAAATGCTTCCCAAAAGGTATGATGTAAAGGCATAATAAGCTTAGGATATAGTCAAATAAACATTAGAATTGTTATGTTGGTATTTCAACTACACCCAGGGTACAGTCAGGGTTTCAACGAAACTACAAAAGGCTCTATTCTAGAGCCATCGTAAGGGCTAAATGACACCAGATGTTCATATATAGTATAAACACATCACTATAATAATGTCTTTTATTATTTTTTTAAAAGATTCATGGTTTATGATTGGCTAACAGCCAACTGTGAAATCGTTATATCCGCGCAATAGCTGACCAAATACGGAGTTTTGACATAATATTCAACGCGCCTCACAACATAAAAATGTTTTCTGGATATTGTATTTTCCATTCTTTTTTGGGTTGACGTCCCGTTGTTCCTTTCATTTTTCCCTTCATGTTTTCGTTCATTTCTCTAAATTTAAGCTATATTTATTAGTTTTTCATCAGTTCCACTCAAATAACTTTTTTTCTTCCTATCCAATTCATGTTTTCCCGACTACGAAAACAATTTGCCGACTGGGATTCAATAATTTGCCGATTACCTGACGACTGAGGTGACCCCCCCCCCTTTAGCGCCCCCCCTGCCACAGGTGCGGATGCCTTTTTCGTGTTTTCATAAATAATAAAACAATGATTGAATTCGTTTTTCGCCAGATATGAAGAATTGTCAAGCCCTCAGTTTGTGTTATCAATCTCAGCCTTCGGTTGATATCGTGCTCAACCTCATTCAATAATTGTTAAATATTATAGAAAGTTGTGCTGAAATTTATAAATCTGGAGGAAGACAAGATGGTATATACATTATAGACCCCGACGGTCGGGGGTCTTTCCAAGCAGAATGTCTCATGACTCTTGGCTCAGGTGGATGGACAGTGATTCAACGAAGACAAGATGGCAGTGAAGAATTCGACCGTAGCTGGACGGACTATAAAAATGGCTTTGGTAATATGAGTGGGGAGCTTTGGCTAGGATTGGATAAAATCCATCGGCTAACTAATTCTGGTCAGAATGTGTTAAGGATAAACATGACAACTAAGAATAACGATCAGTTTTACGCAGAGTATGAGAATTTTTTTGTCTCGGATGAAAGTGAACAATACAAACTAGACGTCGACAACTACTCAGGTATGCATTTTATATGTTTTGCCATGATGAAATCCTGTTTATGGATCAAAATCTTTGTGAAATAATTTATCGAAATTTCGCACAAATGCACTATTTATCGCCATGTAAGGAAATAGTTATTTAATGTTGATTACACAAGGTGCCGTTGCCCACACTCGAGCTGAGCACGACAACTATAAGGCCATTAGGAATATATAAGGGTTAGTTGTTATTGAGGGGGGAAACCAAAGGACCGGAAAAATCCCCCGAAGCACAAGAGAAACCAAGCAAACTTTACTTACATGAGTTGTTTAACAGTTTTAGTTTTACCCAATTGTCAATTGACCTGCAGTATAGGAAGGCTTACTGACTCAGCGCATAAGAAGCAGCGCTAACTACATCTGTGTTACTGTACGACATTCTCTCTTTATTTTAGGTAATACTGACTATGATTCAATGGCATACCACAACGGATATAAATTCTACACAAAAGATAAGGATAATGACGATAAATGTGCTGATACAAAAAAAGGAGGTTGGTAGTACCGCAATTGTACAGCAGCTAACCCCAACGGTCTGTACAAGGAGAATGGATTGTACTGGGGAAAAACCGGGTCAGCATCGATATATCTAAAAACTTTTCAGATGGTTATACGACCAAGGTCAGAACCGTACTCGAAACCATCTCCAACACCGACGAAACGACGCACAGGTTAAGTCTTGAAAATAGACAATCACCAGGGACAACCTCTGGGCAACGTATTGCATTTCTGATGCTTGACATGGTCTTACTTGATTTAAAAGTGCATTTTACTTAGTTGTTTTAAGTCTTAGTCAAACGAGGATGAAAGTGAATTAAAGTCGATGTGAGTTGCAACTCTCGTGTTTATTTCTAGTTTCATTATTCTAAGGGGCCATTCACAAAGGATGTCCGAGCCGAGGGGGGGGGGGGGGGTTTGGAAAATCAGGACAAACTCGGACATAGGGGGGGAGGGGAGGGTTTTAGCAATCCGGATGTCCGAAATTTAAAAAAATTCAAAAACAAATTTCTTTTTCCCTCTATTTTGAGCAGTCCTTCCCATTGTGAAATTGGCATTTTGACTATGTGGTTAACACTAGATTTTGTTTTAATTAGTAATTTATATGTTTTTGTGTTCACATTTACAGTTATAAAAAAGTTCTAAAAGTAAAAGTTTTTTACTCTTGATATATACAAGATTGCGTGAGTTTTTGCGAGGCATGGCGGATGTCCGGGGGAGGGGGGGTCACTAATTCGGACAATGCCGGACAAGGGGGGGAGGGGGGGGTCTGAAAATCCATCATTTGGCCGGACATCCTTTGTGAATGCCCCCTAAATGATAACATTTTGGAAGGCTCTATGCAATCTGTATTAAATGTAGTAGTATATTTACCGCACGCTTAGTCGCTTAAGCCAGTTTTCCACTTCAACCGTATCGTATATCGTAGCGTATTTCTTCGTTTCCTGAGCACTAGAGTGAAACTAATAACTTCGACACAAAAAAAATGATGCTACAATAATGTACGTGTATAAGAGGCCGGATATTTTAATTGATTAAAATACCATATAACTATCAGCATGAATGATGGAGATTTAATGTCTACTAGTACTCATGGGTTATGTTTTTTAACCGTTGGGATTTGGGTAAAACAAAATTGGTTCCGAATATTAACTACGTCTGGTCCGAACGTTTTAAGGATAGATATGACAGCTATAAAGAATAACGATCAGTTTTACGCATAGTATGGGAAATTTTTTGACTCGAATAAAAGTGAACGGGGAGGGGGGGTTGTTGGCAAATATTTTCTGGACATAAACCAGTTACATTAAGGGTCAAACAAAATTTTTCGTACAAATTCTTGTTAAAACATGGGTGAAACCCTTATTTTTGGACCAATATCTGTAAAATTTAGGTCTATAAATTCTACTGATTCAATTCCCTCTGGAAGCCCTGTAAGTTACTTAATAACTCTACATTCTATCATTTAAAATCTTTGATTGCCCTGCCAATCCAGATGATTCGCCCTGCCAATCTAGATGATTCGTGTTTTTTTTTTGTTTTTTTTTTTTTGGGGGGGTGTCACCCCCCATACCACCCCTTACGTTTCGCCCCTGCAGGTACAAACTTTATATGTTTTACCATGATGAAGATCCTAGTTTATGGATCAAAATCTTTGTGAAATAATTAATCAGACGTTTGCAAAAAGTCTATATTTATCGCCATGCAAGGATTTAATGTTGATTACACAAGGTGTGGTTGCCCAGCTCGAGCCGAACTCGATCGACAACTAAGGGTTGGAGAAAACCGTCAAATTACAAGAGAAACAAAGCAAACTTACTCCCAAGAGTTTCGCTTTTAAATAATAAAACTATAAAAAAGGAGATTGGTTGTACGGATTTTGTGTAACAACCAACCCAAACGATTCGTATGAGGCCTGTTCCGCACCGATCCTGTTCGTCTGATTTAAAGTCAGACCAAAGCATTTTCAGTTGAGTGTTTTCAGTTTTGTTGATTTTATGTACAGTTGCTATTAAAGAGCTTTCCCGAAGATATTTCAAAATATATGTTACAGTTTATAAATTTTAGGCTGTCAGCAATATGGAAAATTTAGACAAGGGATCAAAGTCACAGTCCCAGCCAGAAATTTTCATATTTTCCGGCTGAACCCCATTTTTCCACTGGGCGAAATTGCTTGGAGTAAGGGAAGTTCACCGCGTCCTATTTTTTCGCGGCAATTTTTTTCGCTAACCAATCATATCACTGAATGTATTTTTCACTTGAAGGTACACCACCGGTTTAACATCTTCAATAAGTGGCACAGAAACCTTGAATTCCATACTCTTTTGAGACGCTCAGAATATTTTATATTACTAACAGCAATTATTTTTAACAAGAATAATTTTGAATGTTTGTCAACTTTGTCCCACAATTACTAGAAAAAACCCCAACAAAATTTAGAATATCCAAAATATCATACTGTAAACACCCCCCCCCCCCCAATTCAGAACACTTTTGTAGAGCCCCCTTGTTAACATTCTAGGACTAAACCGCTAGGCATTTCTTTGTCTTAAACTGTTTTCTCAGCAATTTCGGAGATCATTATTTGTTTAATAAAGCAATTGTTAAATCGGTCGCTGGTATAATTCGTAGAATTCCCAGCCCACCCTTTTTCTAAATCCCATTTTCCAGCCATTTTTTTAATTAACCAAATTCCAGTATCAACTGTAAACTCAAAAAGACCATGAGCACGTGTTTCACCGATGTGTTGACTTGTAAAACACGATGATATTCTGCTTTCAATGGCCCTCTTTAGAAATAACAACACGAAGAAAACTAAAGTTTTAAAGTGTATAAATACCTGTCATTTTCTGTTACATACTAAGAAAATAGTAGTACATATATTGTACTCGCAATAGCAAAAATGGCCTCTAGCCGGTAAAGAGCAAAATGCAGTGAGAAGCTCTCAATCAAAAGTTGCGCCATAGCTCAACTACAACTATAGTGGTGTATGGGTTTTCAATTCCCATTTTTGTGTCATTCCCAGTCCCATGCAGGAACCCAAATCCAATATTCCCAGTCCAAAAATAGGCAAATCCCAGTTCCCATTTTACCCTTTCAGGTAGGACTACCCGTGAGGGCTTTACTGTCCAGTGTCCAGTGGCGGAAATTGCCTCTTTCCGGTGGAGGGGGGGGGGCAAAGCCTCCTAAATTTCCCACAAAACTTTCAAATTTCCGACATACCCCTCCCCCCATTTGCACTCGAAAAGACTGTTTTTAGCCCTCTTTTAGGTCAAAATTTCCGAAAATTCATCAATTTCCCGTGAAGGTGGGGGGGGGGCGGCCGCCCCCCCCCCGTCCCCCAAGATTTCCGCCACTGTTACTGTCAATCATCGTGAAAGACGTCGAATTCATATATTTCGGACAGACTCTATAAGACAAGAAAATCAGACCTTGATATCAGTCATAAGTATGCAATGAGCTCATTACCGTGAAACAGACCTTAAATTATGATGCTTGCGATGTTACTCCGAGTGTATATCCACACCGGGCAAGCTTGAAAAACATGCCTGTCCACGGTGGGTTCGATTCCCACCGTAGATTCGATTCCCACCGTGGACAGGCATATTTTTCAAGCTTGCCCGGTGTGGATATACACTCGGAGTAACATCGCAAGCATCATATTCACCTGAGTACATTACACCAGCACAGAAAAAATCATGATTACTAGATTACATTGATACCAGAGGAACTAGACTCAGTTCCGAAATATCACATACTCGAACCGACCTGACCGCGTAGCTCAGTTGGCAGAGCATTGGGCTAGTATTCCAAAGGTCGTAGGTTCGATTCCCACCGTGGGCAGGCATATTTTTCAAGCTTGCCCGGTGTGGATCTACACTCGGAGTAACATCGCAAGCATCATATTCACCTGAGTACATTATACCAGCACAGAAAAAATCATGATTACTAGATTACATTGATATCGAAGGAACTAGATTCTGTTCCGAAATATCACATACTCGAACCGACCTGACCGCGTAGCTCAGTTGGCAGAGCATTGCCATTGGGCTAGTATTTCAAAGGTCGTAGGTTCGATTCCCACCGTGGACAGGCATATTTTTCAAGCTTGCCCGGTGTGGATATACACTCGGAGTAACATCACAAGCATCATATTCACCTGAGTACACTACACCAACACAGAAAAAATCAAGACCTTAACCTTAAATTAATAAGACGTGGAGCAGATCTTACAAGACAATGAAAACCTTTGTCTGCCACCAAATATTCTGTTTGCATATACAAAGGAAAATCTTCCCCTGTACACGATACTAGGCCCGCTGCTATTTCTGATCTTCATTAATGATCTTCCGGGCTGTCTCGCTTATACAATACCAAATATGTATGCAGATGACACTAGCATCACTACGGGAAACGAAAATTTTAACCTTATGGAAAACAGAATTAATGAAGATCTACAAAATTTGTGCATTTGGCTGAGAGCCAATCATCTTAGTCTCAATATTGTCAAAAGCGAATACATGATCATTGGCTCAGTCCAACGAATTAGAAACTTAAGTAGGGAACCTTCTTTATTCATAGGAAATGTTAAACTGAAAAGAGTTACACACAAGAAAATCCTAGGTGTTACCGTTGATGAAAATCTTAGCTGGCATGACCATATAAGTAATACTGTAAAGAAGGTAAAGAGCGGCCTTAGTGCCTTGAGAGACAAATTCGTGATTTTGTCCCAGTAGACGCATTAAAGAAAGTATATTATGCAATTATACAACCGTATTTCGACTATTGTTCATCGGTATGGGATAACTGCAATAAAGGTTCTAAAGAGAAACTTCAGAAATTACAAAATCGTGCTGGGCGGATTATCACACGTTGTGGTTATGATATTACATCTTTATTTTAGAAAAATTAGGCTGCTTTACGTTGGAACATAGGTGGCACTTGAATAAGGTATTATTAATGCTTTTATTGTATATATGTAATATAGTTAATAATTCAAGTTATTGTAAAATCTAGTTTCCCCTTTGTTTTCCTTTTCTCTCCTTTCTTCCTATATTTACATAGATTTATATAATTGTATATATGCACGGTTCTCAGAGCATTATTTATGTAATGATGAGATTTCCGTGTTGAAATAAAGTTTATACATACATTATACATACATACATACATACATACATACATACATACATACATACATACATACATACATACATACATACATACATACATACATACATACATACATACATACATACATACAGCAATAAGAAAAACATGAGGTTTACATTAACTAGAAAAACAAAAGATTCCGAGATGGTCATGGCATTACAACATGTTACAACATATTGACAGTTTGGCGAAATTTCTACGTTATATCTTATATAACTGTTCAATTTTAAAGTTCGAAGAACTATCGCATCGTAAGAAGGTACTCGGGATAATACTGGTTATCCTGGAATATAACGTACATTGATGGATTCCTACGATGATCCACAACAGAATCGTAACGCAGACCAGGATTATGGGGGTCATTTTTCAAAGGCGGTGCCTTCATCCCTTTTTTCCCTTTTGTGTAGTCACCGACAAGTACTTTGGCCATGTACATCTTTGGAAGAGCATCTGAGAGCTGTCGGTTGGCATATCCCATCGAATACGAAGCATCACGAGCAAAATACACACCATTCCCGTACGCAACACCTATTAAAATGATAACGTCACGATTAAAACATCGTCGTTTACCCGTTATTGTTAAGAAGCGTATCTGTCTTATAAAAGAAGAATTAGGAGGCTAGATATCAAACAAAGAGAGATGTCTGTCTTAATGAAATTTCTGTCTTAGAGCAATTTACTCATTTTACCTGTAATAACAAAATATCCCTTACCGTTAACTCCGGCAAAACTTCGGCTGAAATTATGAGCATTAATCGAATCAATATTAGCAGCATCAGTGCCGTGAAACAGACGCATTTCATTGACTTCACCTCGCATGGATTTTTTGAATGCCAAGTACCTAGAATAAAGTTGAGGATTTTGAATTCTTTCCACCTTGCGAAGTTGACTTGCATTGCCACCTCGGGCTACAAAGTGGTTGAAGACTTCCAGATACTCTTGGGATGAAGTTGCAATTCTGACTAGCTTAACTAGTTGGTTTTCTGGCTGGAGTGTCCAATTGGATGGCAGAGATAACTCTGATCCTAAAATGAAAGACCAATACATAATGTAAAATCATAATGCATTCTTTACTATATTAAGTAAACAAAATAAATAGTTCCGTTTTCTTGCTCCTATAACTCTACACATGACGAAATTTCTGGACTTGACTTACATTTTGGTTGTTTTAGGTTTCTTTTAATCCGCACTAGTTTATTGGTAAAACAAAATCTTTATTAGTGTGGTATATATCAAGACAACGATACGATGATGAATTCCTTTGTGTTTTGCTAATAAATTATTATACAAATGAGCTTGAGAAATACATATTCCTAGGCTTGTTGCTAAACCAATCAATTTTCTGGTTAACTTTTCGTTTGGCAACTTCTTGTGTTTCTCACGACCTTTTGAGTGAAATCGATGATTATGATGACAGGGTCAATGCTGTTGAGGTAGTTAAGGAAAGTCGTAAGACTTTCTTCACCATGAGACCAAACAGATAGGATGTCGTCAACGTAATGTTTCCATAACTTAATTGTGAATGAGCTGTTGGAGAGAGCCTTTTCTTCAAAGTCTTCCATGAAGAGATTGGCACGAATAGGAGATAAGAGTGAACCGATAGCAGCTCCGCTAATTGTTTGTTCGTATATATTCATCTCTCCACTGGAAGCATGTTGAGCTGAGACAGAGCCGGAGTAAATAAATTATTTCGTCTATAGTGAGGTAAGTTCCCTCGTGAAGAGTGTTATCTGCAACAAGTTTTCGTTTAGCATTCTCGCAGGCTTCGTTCACTGGAATGTTGATAAAAAAGACTAACAATGTCAAAACTATATAGGATGTCGTCGGCATCCAGTTGAATGTTTCTCATTTCGTTGACTAGTGTTGAGGAGTTGAGTGTGACGCTTTTCCTACCAGAGGTTTGAGGATTGGCTTTATGTAGTGATGGTAAAATTATACCAAAAGGACTAGTGTTGACCACCAACCTACACTCAAAGAATGCTTCTAATATCATTAAACGAACTGAACTCGCTCTAGTGAGAGAACGAATTTCTTGGACAAGAAAACAACTTAATTATGTGGTTACGTCAATTATATCTACTAAAAATTTCCTGCTTAACACTCTTGAAAATGAAGACTACAAGATTGTTGATAGAATTGTGAAACGTTGCACAGCTAAACTTTTCAACGAGACAAAGACCAAACAATTATCAAAATTTGATAAACTCACAAAGATAACTACTAATCCTTTAAATCGATCCTGTACAAAACCGGATACTGTAATCAACTTAAGTCAAAGACAACTCAGCCCGGAAGTAGAATGTGTCCTAAACCTTGGTCTGAACTTTGCTATTACCCCGAAGTCGATTCCTAAATTTGTACAACAAATCCAGCCAGCTTTATATCAATTGCACAACGAAACAGCCAACAGCATTCGTGTACAAATCACCGAGACTTTACGCCGTGCTAAACCACCAGACAACAACCTTCGCCTAGGCCTAGAGAACAGAAAGTCAAATCTCCACGGAACGATAATTCCATCCACATTTTGAAAGCTGACAAAGGAAATTCCACCGTTGTCATGGATAAAACGGATTATGAACATAAGGTTAAAGATATGCTTTCATCTACTACATACAAGAAATTAAAACGTGATCCGACTCCTTGCATTAAACGTATCGAAGCATCTACTATCACTACATAAAGCCGATAGTTTACCCTTCAATCTTTACAGCCACCTACACCCATCAGCAACGACTTGTCCAAAATGTTATGGTTTACATAATTAAAGTTCACAAACCTGATGTCCCTCTTCGTCCTATAGTAACACCAAAGGGCTCACCAACCTATAATAACGCAACATCTAAAATCCTCAAACCTCTGGTAGGAAAAACGTCACACTACGTTCTCAACTCCTCAACACTAGTGAACGAAATGAGAAACATTCAACTGGATACCGACGACATCCTATATAGTTAGTTTTGACATTGTTAGTGTTTTTATCAACGTTCCAGTGAACGAAGGCTACGAGATTGCTAAACGAAAACTTCTTGCAGATAACACTCTTAACGAGCGAACGTACCTCACAGTAGACGAAATAATTGATTTACTCCGGCTCTGTCTCAGCTCAACATGCTTCCAGTGGAGAGATGAATATATACGAACAAACAAGCGGAGCTGCTATGGGTTCACCCTTATCTCCTATTCTTGCCAATCTCTTCATGGAAGACTTTGAAGAAAAGGCTCTCTCCAACAGCCCATTCACAATTAAATTATGGAAACATTACGTTGACGACATCCTATCTGTTTGGTCTCATAGTAAAGAAAGTCTTACGACTTTCCTTAACTATTGTATTTCTTACATCGGTCCTGTACCCACAAAATTGAACGAATTCTCTAGCAATCAAACATCAAAGTCTACCACATCTCTCAACAGAAAATGTATCAACTACTTTATACTCACAAAGACAAGACAAACAACGATTTGAAACCTGGTGTATACCATATCCCGTGTGAATGTGGTATGGCATGCATTGGAGAAACCGGACGAAACCTGAAAACCCGACAAAAAGAACATCTGAACTATTGCAACAAAGCTGAACTCAGCAATTGGTAAACAGTAAACATGCCTGGGAAAAAGAACATCGGATTGAATGGAATGATTCAACACTTCTTGTTCCTGTTAGCAATTACTATACGCTCGGAAAATGAGGGAATCTATAGAGATTTTTAAACATCGGACAACTCTGCAAGATGGCAAGCGACTTAATGACACTAGGACATCCCTGTTCTAATTTTAACAGCTACTTTATTTCTAATTTTCTATGACTAAGTTGTTTCCAATTTAGAATTGTAGAATTATTGTTTTTAAATTTGACGTATACGCATATTTGCGCACGCGACAACAACGGTATCTAGGTTTACTGACGCAATCTAATCACAGAGTGGATACATACAGAGCTATAACTGACCGTTGTAAACACTGCGGAAGCTTACGTTTTCATGTACCCACTTTTTTCAGGCGATCGAGCAAAAAATGTCAACTGCGCGTGCTCGGCAAGTTCCGCGAGCAGTTAAAGCGAGTCGTCATCCAATCAGATGCATGCATCTAGTAACTTGCCGAGCATGGGTACACTAGTTATAACTCTATATATGTATTAGCCTGCGAACAAGCTCTCAAGCTGAATTGAGAGCCTGCATCGATGACTAATGAATTTGAATATCTGCCCCGTAACGTTCGTTTTTCCAAATATGGAATGTCTATCCTTATATGGTGTTGTTTACAACTTTCGTGCAAACTAAATTTAGACCGTGCAAACTAAATTTAGACTGTACAGTTTATACTGTTTTACGAAATATAAGATATTCAAGCAAAAGTTCAAATGTTTTAAATACTGTTTTCTCAAAACAGAACATTTCGTGCTTTGAGACAAGACGGCCAAGACCAATTTGATCAGTTAAAGTGTTTTTTATGCATAATGCTTCAGCAGTTGACATATATAGAGCTCAGCGGAAACATATAAATTATAGCATCTGACCAATGAGAATTTCGCGTCACGATTTGAGACGCAGATATTCAAATTCATTAGTCATCGATGCAGGCTCTCAATTCAACTTGAGAGCCTGTTCGCAGGCTATATATGTATCTACTCTGTGATCTAATGTTCATTCTTTCTCTGAAGACGGCCGAGTACACGGACCGAAAGCTCAGAATCAAATTAAATACATGGTGTAACCACAAATTGTTCCTTGATTTTTATTAGAAATATTGTTACGGAAACAAAGTTTACTTCCTAGGAAACAAAAACGTTTCCCGCCAAATTCAGAAACATGTTTTCCTCCTAAGTACCTGTACATGGCAAGTTTGACGTTTGGTTGGTTAGCTCATCTTTGGGAATCATGGACAGAAAAGAATGATTCCGCAACAATGCTTTATAGTTTTCCCCAACCAAGTCTTCTCTCATAAAACGACCAAGGTGTCGTAGAAAATGTGATAACTCTTCTTTAATAACTTACCGTTGACTGGTTGCGCCGGAACAGTGGTTCGTTTCATACGCTGACCATATCTGACTAGCTTGATTTCCTTTAACGTGCCTGGCAGATTCATCGAGCTGAATTTCTCAAATTCTTCTCTCATAACACGTAGTACGACATCTTCAGGAAACATGTGTTTTCCTGTTCCGATCAACGGCATTGCCACAGACCTCGCTGAACATCGAGCACATTCCAGGAGTATTTTTAGGAAAAGGCTGCGTAGTGTCTGAAGAATGATTCAAATATGTATTAACCATACAATCAAACCACAAAAGTATGGGATAGTAAAGTCCTCAATGACAATTCGGCGCCATGTTTAGGAGAGTAAAACATTGAGATCTTAAAGGTTGTAATTTACATAATCTTGTTCAGCCTTTTCAAAATCGGAAACTAATTTTCTCAAGCGGGGTTAAGATATATTAATAAATGATGTTTCATTTGAGGCAAAAAGCGGTGCATTACGGATCTGAATGCCGTTCTCTGGAACCAGGCATGTACACAAATAGTCCATATGTTTTGACATGGTTTCGTGTAAAGTTTATATAGTTTTTGTTTTATACTTTTTTAATTTTCTTAAATGATATGTGTTGGCACGGTGTGTTGGATAGTATGCATGTGTGAATTCTAAATTGGGCATGCACCTGAGTTAAGCACAACGATTAATTAATGTAATTCTGTGTTTGAATAATTAGACCATATAGGCTTAGTACAAAAAAAAATATTTTAATAACTACGTTTCGGAGTATAACTCCATCTTCAATTATATAGTTTAATTTAATTTAATTACAGATGCAGGCACGGACACGAAATTTTTAACGCTCTTAAGCCCGTTTTCCAGTCACGTATTTCGCCGCCGCTGGCGAAAAATTTTGACAAAGAAATCATTTTTTTACATTCATTCGCCGCTGAAGAAATTTGTTCTCCTGCTACAGTTGCTTAAAATTTTCAACTTTTTCAATCTGATTGGGGCATCAATAACGCAGGTGTCCCTCAAGGAACTAAATTGGGCCCTATTTTGTTCATAATTATAATCAACGATCTTGAACTGGCATCCTCTAGCACTGACCATTGGAAATACGTGGATGACGTAACAATATCGGAGTCCTTAAAGAAAAATGAAGTTTCAGTCCTACAATCTGATCTTAACACAATTGAAAGATGGACTGTTAATAACAACATGAAATTGAACGGAAAGAAATGATAGTGAGTTTCGTCCGTAGCGAGAATGACATCCCCCGACTCCTCATTGATGGTTTACCTCTAGACTTAGTTCCTTCTTTCAAAATTTTGGGCTTAACCATGAACAATAAATTGTAATGGCAAGATAACACTGAAGCGTTAGTTAAAAAAGCCTCAAAACGCTTATACATTATTCGTGTCCTAAAGCGCTGTGGTCTTCCCCCCAATGACCTCTTATTAGTCTACTTTTCTATGGTGCGCTCTATCTTAGAATATGCCTATCCTGTCTGGCACACCATGTTACCAAAGTGTTTGGGAGATAAAATTGAAAAAGTTCAAAAACAGCTTTCCGTATTATTTATCCGACAACAGATTACGAAGATGCTCTCAACATCGCTAAATGCAAGCGTCTTGACGACAGACGTCAAGCGCTATGTGCTAAAACTTTCAAAAAGATCTTAAAACCCGATGCTCACCTCAACCACCTCTTACCCCCACTCCGTGAAGAATCGCATGAACTGGACTTAAGAAACAATTCTAACTTCACATTAACTAAATGCAGAACGGAACGTTTTAAAACTAGTTTTATACCAGCAATGACTGCTAATTTTAATAGTGAATAATTTGTAGTATTTTAACAATTGTACATATACGATATATCTATATTTATATTATTTGATACTCATCCTTTATTATGTTTCTGTAAGCATATTGCAATTCACCTTCGGGTGCCACCTTTAATAATAATAATAATAATAATAATAATAATAATAATAATACATTAATTTGTGCCTATAATGCACTTGTTTTGCCTCACCTTGATTACTGTTGCGAAGTGCGGGGCACCATTGGTACCACACTTTCTGATCGTCTCCAGAAATTACAAAATAGGGCTGCTAGAGCTATCGTGGGTCGTAAAAATGAACATGGTCAATCTGAACTTGCTCTAAATGAATTAAACTGGAAGCCCAGTTTGTTGCAAGTCTTATGTATAAAATTACTCATGATCTAGCGCCCTTACGACTTACTGATATTTTTCAAAAGACGTGTTCCTCCCAGCACTATACAATTTGCGGGGCTCTTCCACTAAACTCCATTTTCCCAAGCACAAGCCTAAGACTGAATATCTTAAAAAAAGTCTTAGCTATAGAGGGGCCAAACTGTGGAATAGTCTCCCAAATGAATTAAGAGGAAAGAATCACTAGCTATATTCAACAAAAACGTATGACACCTGGCTACTAATTAGTGTTTTCAAATCCATATTTACCTTTACTATTTAATCTATTAATATTTACTATAACCTATTTAATTATGTTTGTAACTGTATTAATTGCATGTAAGTAACTGTATTTGTATGTTTAATTTTTCTAAATTTTTAATGTAAATTTGAATTTAATGCTACGCCCCCCCTCGGAAATCAGCTTTTGCTGTAGGGGTTAGCGTAGTAAAATAAAGTTTTACCTACCTACCTACCTACCTATACCCAAATTTTTGCCTCTTCGTACGACTCTGTTGCGCTGGCTAATGATATTAACTCTGATTTAGAAAATGTCACAGATTGGTTAAATGTAAATAAACTCCAATCCCATCCTTCTAAGGCTAAGCTTATTGTCATAGGATCAAAACAAAATTTGACCAAAAAAGTTGGTGAATTGTACAACAGCATTACATGTATCATGAACAATAACGTAATTTCATCTGTTGTCTCGAATAAATGTTTGGGAGTTGATTTTGATGACAGGTTGACTTTTGATATCAACATTGAAGAAATATGCAAGAAGATCTGTTCAGGCGTAGGAGCATTGAGGAGAATTAAACCATTCGTTCCCCAGACTTCTCCTGTTACATTATACAAATCATTAATCCAACCATATTTTGATTATTGCTTTCCCCTGTGGCATACATGCGATAAAATATAAAAAGATAAATTGCAAATACTACAAAATCGTGCGGCTAGAGTTATCACTGGAGCAACATATGGTGATAGGATTAGATCAAGTGATCTTTTGGAAGGTTTAGGGTGGGATAATATACATGTTAGGCGGGCTAAGTTGAAGAGTATCCGCCTAATGTATAAAATCCTTAATGAAAATTGTTCGCCATGTTTAGAGAAAGCCTCGTAAGACTTAGAGAACTTAATCGAGGCCATAATTTACGAAATCAGGAAACGGATCTAGCAATTCCAAAACCAAAAACTAATTTTTTTAAGCGAAGCTTTAAATATAGTGCATCAATGTTGGGGAATAATCTTCCATTAGATGCAAAAAGAGCGACTTCGCTCAGTCAATTTAAGCGTAGAATTGCGTAACTGTCCTTTTAGAACCATGTTGACTTAATTAAAGTTAACTCTCTTTACTTACTTTACTTGACTTTATTTTTCTTTGTTGTTGAGGGAGGAGGGGAGGTTGGGGGGTTCATATAATTTTCTATATATTTTACTGTTTTATATATCACGGCCCTCCTGAAAATCAGCTTTCAGTTGTGCGAGGCTAGCGTGTTTTCATTTTAAATAAAATTGATTGATGATGATGAGTCATGTCATGGAGCTTCTCTACAAGGAAAATTCAGTGTTCGTGTGTACGGCTGCCAAGGAAGACGAGGAAAACTTGACTGTATATATAGTGTACAAAAAATACTTCAGTGGCTTTAGCAAACAAAAGATGGCCTTGACTCGAGATCAAAGTAGTATTTAATTTAACAATCAGCGTAGATCACCCCGTTATTGGAGATTTTATCTCTGTGTGGTCATTCCAGCCATTGTGTGTAATTTATAGTTAGTTTATATCTATAATAATAGCAAATTTGTAAATTACTGTCGTCCCAATTGAAGTGTTCCTCAAATATTGATTCAATACATTACCTCAGGCTAACTAATTCATTTGATCAAGTTCCTCGAAATATTCATACATTTCATGTGAAAGAGCCAATTCCATGAATTTGATCATTTTTGGTCACTTCCTTTCTATTTATGATTGGTTAGTTGCACAAACAACAAAGGTGATTGGTGCATTCAAACTATTCAACAGGAAGTTTACAATTATACTAGGAAGTGTATGAATATTTCGAGGAACTTGATCAAATGAATTGGTCAGCCCGAGGTAATGTATTGAATCAATATTTGAGGAACACTTCAATTGGAACGACAGTAAATTAATTAAATTAATCACGGTAGAACGTGTCCAGGCAAATTTGTCAAGGAAAATGTGCGACTGTACACACAAGAAAGTAAACATGTCAAGGGAAACTTGTCAAGGAAAACGTTCTACCGTAAACTCGAGAAATTTGTCAAGGAAAATGTGTTTGCACGAGAGTGTAAATTAGTTAGGGAAACTTGTCAAGGAAAACGTTTTACCGCCGTAAACTCCAGAATCGAAAGTTTAACTTGGTAAGGGAAACTTATCAAGGAAAACTTTCTGCCGTACACTCGAGAAAGTAAACTTTTTCAAGGAAAACTTGTTGACAGTACACACGCGAGACTTTAATTAATGAGATATGTCAGAATTTATGGTGGAGTATTGTTGTCTTGAAACGGCGAAGGAGTCTGCTGTTTGGTGCAACCCGTTGAACGTTTGACTTAACACTACTTAATTGCATTAAGTTAATCTTATAGGTTTCTTTCAAGGATAAATTATCATAGACATATTAATTTAGCGAGTGTTCTCTGTCTGGCTTGGTACGGACTTTGAGGTGTGTTAAGAGGTACGTTAGTTAGATACATTTTATAGAAAATTGGCGTATTTCTAATTATCATCGCCAACATATGGATAGGTTATATGTAAATTATATGGATACTAACAATCAGTTGAATGAGTCGTGTTAGCTACATAGACAATCGTATACGTATAACTACAAAGCGGCATATTTAAAGGAAAGTCAATTACAACATCAATATTATAACGTTATTCTAAAACTGAAATCTCCTCAATCTTGAGAGTGTTTGTGTTTTCTGTTTGACTCGGCTAAACAGCACAGGTTCTCTCATCCCTGTAGCTACAAAAATTTCATTCTTTATATTGATTTATCAATAAATTTGGACCTACAGAGTCAATA